CAGTACTCTGCTAATTGTCTAATCAGCATGCCAGACGCCAGACTGTTTTACAAGAAAACAAAATTTTTTATAATTTTAACGTGAAAGTTAATAATCAGATTATTTATAGTTATACCATAAAACTGCTGGAGAAAGAATGTGAATCTTACCTTAGACAATGATTCTGCTTTAATACATCAGACTGTTCTGATTCTTGTTTGGATCATTCTTCCTGGTTTGCTCATTCAAATCATTGAACACTTTGGGCCTGGGAAGACAATAAACAGACTACCTTTTGCTGGTACTTCCAACGTTTCAACATCGATTCAGTTCTGTTCTTGTAGAATACAGAATATTTATTCTATATATTTAAAATGGCATTGTCTTAAATTCAGCTATGTGTATTATGGCTAATGGTTTCTTTTAAATTTTGGATTTTATTTTTATTTTTATTTTTTGATTTTTGAGTCACAGTCTGGCTGTGTTTGAGACTGGCCTTGAACTTGTGATCCTTTTGCCTTAGCCTCCCAGAAAGTGAGATTATAGGCATGTGCCACCATGCCTGCCTTGTGGTGATGTTTATAGCTGTGTTTCTACCATTACAAAAATATAAAGTTATTCTAAAAAGTAGAAAGGTAAAATAATTAGATGTCTTTAGAAAAGTCCATTGAATCTTACTATAATTCTAGCATTTGAATTTGAAATTAGGACAATTTTTTTTATTTTTATTTTTTATGAATTTAAAAAATAAAAGTACAGGGGATACAGGGTCTACAGGGTCTCACTATGTAGATCAGCCTTGTAGTGATCCTCCAGTTTTCAGTCTCCCAAACTCTGGGATTACAGGCGTGCACCACCATACTGAGTCTCAGTCGCAGTCTCAGCATGACCTGGGCAGGGCCAGCATAGCAAGGTGCTGCACTCTGCCTAAGCAGGCGCTTCAGTCCGCTGAGCTATCAGGCTGGAGGTAGACCAGACAATTTAAAAGCAAAAAATAAACAAAAAAACCTAGAAAGAAAAGTTAGAACATTTAAGTTCAATGCTACCATAAATGTATTCATTTTTGTTGGTTCAGTTTTTGTTTTTGACACACAGTCTCACCATGTGCTTAAGGCTGGTGCCCAGACCGATCTTGAACTTGTAGCAGTCCTCCTGCCTCACCCTTCTTGGTGCAGGTATGTTCTACCATACCTGACAATTACTTATATATACATGTACCCCTTGTGTCAGATTTTTAGTACTTGAATATTGTGTCCTAAGAAGGAGGAGCAAGTATATCATCTGTATAGAGAAAGTGTTTGGTCTTCTCAAGAAAAATGTAGATTTTTAGATCTTATAAAACCTAGGCCACCTTAACTTGAATCCTTTGGGTATCTTAGTGGATCTGGAGTTACGTGAAGTTTGTGACTGTGGTGTCATGAGGTATTAATAGTGTTTTGGGTAGATACGAATATATAAAAAATATAGGAGTAGCCTGGCATGGTGGCATATTTCTATAATCCAAGCATTGAAGAGGCTGAGGCAGCAGGATTGCCACAGGTTCAAGGCCAGCCTGAACTACATAGTAAGACCATGTCTTGATTCCGCCCAGTCCAAATTCTGGGTGTATAATGCTTGAGTCCTATATTTCTAAATTCTGAGGATAAGTGATTTTTTTCATCTAGGCTTGTGTTTGATCGGCAATCTGCTTCTGAATATTTGTAGTCTTTTTAACTTTTCTGGCCATCTCATGGCAATTGCTACACAAATGGATAAGTCCCTCTTAGCCTTGTGAAGAGAGGTTCAGTGTGCCGTTTGTCAGTGTGGTGCTCTCTTTTCCTCGAAGAGTCTTTTAGGGTAGACAGAGACATGGGAAGTAAGTTAAATCTGTGAGTGAATAAAATGTACAGCAAGATGGTAAAAAACCTAAGCATTCTCCTTTATAATGTCCAAAAATGACAAAGTGTGCCTCATATTTTGGTGGTAAAACTGTTTTCTAAAAGTGTATGTATGTTGTTAGAAGTAGTAGAATTAGAGGGAAGAGAGACTGATATCTTAATAGGTAAATGACTTAAAGTATGCTAGTAATAAATCGCTTCCAAAAAGTGTGCGGGGCTTTTCCTTATAGAAATGTATTACTCTCACAATCAGGCATTGGATAATAATCCTGCTTTTTTGTAAGAGACTAATAACTAATTTTTTGACTAGAAGTTTTTCAAGGGCTTTGCATTCTTTATCACTCAGAGCAGTGCTTTATATGGAGACTCAAAAAGGAAGTATTAAAATTCTTGGTATCTTTAGGTGATACGATCCTTTATAGTCCTGTGACAGTAAAAATGTTAGCTTTGTCTGTACATTCTTTAATTGCTGTAACCTGACTGTTTGGAAAACAGTCTGTAAGTAGTATATCTTCAAGAGATTATACATACTATCATCCTGAGGAATAATATTTGTTATTTTATTTTAACTGTGCCTGAGTATGATTTAAAAATTCTGTAAAATATTTCTATCTGAAAATACACAGACAGTATAGTTCCCAGAAGTGGAACATTTAAGTGTCTCTTGCTATGTTATCAAACTCTCAGTTTTGAATACATTGATGTGTTTGTTTGAGCCATATATATATCACCATTTGGACCATTTTTTGTTACTGTCAAACACTATAAAATAAACATAATTACATGTCTTAATTTTGGTGATTATTCTTATAGATAATATATTTGAGTTACTTGATAATTTGTAAATGATTTTGTGATTTTTTTGCTATATGATAAAAATTACTGCACAAGTGCCTTAGTAGCCACTGGATGTGACTTCACTGTCTTGTATTATGTAGAATCTATTGTTGCCTAATTTAGTAATAATTTTATCATAGCAGCTTAACATCTCTTATAATTTTAATTGTTATGAAGAAAAATGACATCATTTAATTTGACTCAATGCACAAGGATGGATGAATGACAAATTAATAATTTATCACCTTTGCATAATACTGAAGCATAGAGTATTAGAAGGATTGATGGCACAAAAGGTTAACAAATTTTAGCAGCTTTCATTAGCTTTACATCATCATATGTTTGTGGTGCTGACTGAAATAGGCTTTGTAGGAGATCTCAGTCTAGGGAACTAATTACTTGTGCCGATTGCCGCACTGATGAATAGACCCTCTTTGTATCATTCCCCTGAAGACGAGGAGCAGCCTGTGATTCACGACTGCATCCTGGCTGATATTTGATAATAATTTTAACAGATAAATGTAGGTGGGCAGGATGATGAAGTGCCTATCCCAGCTCCATGACTATCAAAGCTGTGCACATAGCCATCTGTGTACTGCCTTTCCCCATCTACCCAGGGAGAATTTTTATTTCATAAACTGAGTTCAAACTCAAACAACTGTTGTCTTTGGCTTGTGTGCATATTTTACATATTTCTTATAAGTTTGCAAATGATATCCTAATATTGTTTTCTAGTTAAAAATAACATGGCAAAATAATGGACAATAGAAGATAAAAGCTTTTTATTTTTTCTTTTAGGACTGTAATTCTTACACATTTTATATGTCATTTTGATTACATAATGTCCTCCTCTCCTCATCATGCATGACCTAAACTAGCAAAGGAAGTGTTTGATGGGCTCATGGCCTCTTCAGCAATGAGAAAGGACTGTGGAATTCCTGTTGTTTTACACTTTTTTTTAATAATGTTCTGTTTGCTTGCTGTGCTTGTAAAATCTGAGAAAGTATTTAATTGAGTAAAATACTTATTTATAAACTTTTTGAAATTTTAAAGGTAGCATTTTTAAAACATCAAAATCAAGCGAATGTTTACTTAGGTATCTTGGGATGGTCAATTGGTCATGCTTACTGATTTGTCAAAGCTGACAGGTACAATTTTACCAGCTTATGAAATACAAGTAATATTTTATTTTGCCTTAGTCACTTCTGTAGTTTTATTTTGAATAAATATTTATTTATTTATGGAAAATTACATGTTTTAATTCTATCTACAGTGAATAAATATCTTCAGAGATTTTTTGTACTGTACCTGTAAAACTTCATATTGGTATTTTCCTTATAAAATATTTCCAATATACTAGATTATGATTAGTTAACAGGAGAGAAAGTTAACATTTATGTTGTCGTATAAAAGATCGCTATATAACTTGAGAAAATATCATAGAACTTTAATTTTTGAAATACACATTTTCAAAAGTATGCTTTCTGTATAGTAATTATTGCACATCATATAGCATGTAGTTTTTAATTAAATGTAAAAACAGGCTACATAAAACAGAAATCTAATCTGATTTGCTTGAAAATAGATTGCTGTTTCACTCTACAGGAATGGTTTATTTAAAAACAGTAAATGGAAAAGAAATGCATTTTCTTGTGTTGTTCTAAGCCTCAGGGGCTAAATGTAATGAATATTTTAAGAGATTATTTTAATTAAATTCCTGCACATCTAAACAGAGTAATATTTTATTATCACATACATAACCATGTAACTGAGATATTCATTAAAGTTAACACTTTCTGGACCAAGAATTCATAGTATGATTTACTGACCTTGTGCAAAAAGGCACAAATTAGAAAGAAAAATGAAGGGGGACAGACTTTGATTAATATAGGTAATGCTATACCATATTTATAATAGCCTTTTCCCTATTCTGGTTTATAAATGCAGCCTCAGAGAAAGGTGCCCTGCTGAGGCTGAAATGAGGCTGAAATCAGAGCACATGCCACCAGAGTGTGGGGAAACTGATCACACTGTCAGCAATTCATTTCAAAATGATGTATTTAGTGCTCATTTCACCTTCCAAGAAAAGGAAAAGGAGTTCCTTAGACTAGAAGGTGATATTGTTATTTTCAAGGACATACCTAAGTTAAAGATTGCAGAAAAGGGAGTGTGATATGGAGGGAGAATTAAGAGGAAGGAGAGCAGGGGGGAAAGGCAGAGCAAACAAGGAGAGCTTTATGCAGAGATCCAACGCTACCACGCTGTTTGATAATTGCTAACATATGTGGCTTCTCTGTTTCATTGTAGTCGTCCTCGTGAGTTCTGGCGCCTCGACTACTGGGAGGATGACTTGCGGCGCCGGCGACGGTTTGTGCGCAACCCTCTAGGATCGACACATCCTGAAGCGACACTAAAAACAGCCCTGGAACATGGTCAGTGTATAGCCACTCCTTGCCAGTAGCAGCAGGTACAGCACTTGGCCGTGAGCAGCACAACTTCATTATTGCAAGGCGCTGTGAAGTGCTCTGACGCTGCATGTCACTGTTACCCCAGAGAAAGAAGTTAATTTTTTTAATGGTTAGTATAGGAGCCTATGAAATTATGGTGTCAAGTACATTTATTATATTTTATATGCAGAACTTGCTTAACGTAGACCCTTTGTTCAGAATACAGGACTAAAGTATTTGTCCTTTTAAGCAACACATTCAGCATTGAGTAAATTCATCCCGGAAGCCTGCCTTAAATTCACAAGTATCAGACAGACAGCATTTACAAACCAAATAAGTTTCTAGGTTCTCTTGTATGTTCACAGCTTTCCCCCGACCGTGGTATTTTTAGCATGAGATTATGAAGTGGGGAAGATGGTAATAAATGTCCAAGTGCCTGGATACTTTCTGAACCTTGATTTGTAGGTGATAGTGATTGATGGTTCCCGGAAAAAAAGAATAGACATTATTTTCATATGTTTCTATTCTGCATCATCTTGTTAGCAGAGCTTAACAAAACATTCCCCCCCCCCCTTTTGTTATGGTGTGTATGACTATGATTCACTTTAGGTAGAAGTCTGATAAGCAAATTGGAAAAACTGGAAGGGTCTTTTGAAAGTGATAATATGCAGTCTTTGATCATAGCTCTGTGTTTAATATTTTATCATTTTGGAAAGCCAGTATTTAAACATTGAGGAAGAAATGCCTTTCCACATCTTCAAATTATTTTGTTTTTATAAAATATAGATTGGTTATTTTTCATTTTCTAGAGTACTAGTTTAATTTGAGCAACTATAAAAACATGTTAATGTTTACTATGTAAAACAAGTGTTAAATTAGATTAGTCTAGTTTCAATTCAAAATTTTTTAACTGATACATAAAAATTGTATAATGTGATAATTTGTGGTAATGTGGTATTTTGGTGCTTGTAAGGCTGTTACAAATTTAGATTAAAAATCTGTAGTCCTATATTTGGTCTCAGTCAGGCAGTTTAACCTCTTGCACTCAGCCTTAAGGAGCCATTTCTGAAGAAAATGTCCACAATATGTCATGAGATATAACACCAAATGTGACATCAGTCCTTTAAAATAAATGATCATACAGAGAATAGTCAATAACAAAGTTATCTAAAAGCAATAATAATCTCAGGGCCCTACATTTTCAGCTGCAGGAGGTGGAGAAGGGAAAATATTATGTAAGATTAATTAGGCCACTTTTGTTTTTAGGGTTCATATATTTTTTATGTGTTACAATAGATTTGAAGGTTACATAATTTTTTCTTTCTCATTCCTTTTTGTTTTTTGTTTAATGACACATCAGTTTACTTACAATTTTTACCCTTTTAAGACACTCAGGTATTTCCATGTACACTTAAAAATTGAAACTTAATACCCAGTTTTCTGTCTTTTCACTGTCTCTTAACTGTGAGTTTTGAGTTCTGAGGCCTATGGCAATAAAATGTATTTTAAAAATTTTTCTTTTATAATTGGAAAGGGAGGACTTCTTTTCTAAAATTGCAAGTAGCAATCTGTTAATCTTTTATGTTAGGAGAAATATCAGTGACCAAATTTAAAATTTATAATACAGTTTTAATGCAGAATTTATTAAAATACATTCTTATAAAAATTGTACATTTAACCAGTTTGAGGTATTATGGGATTCCTAATGAATAAATTTTAATTTTATTATGGAACTATGCCTTTCAAAATAATGCTTTATTTTAATGTTAAGCATCCCCAATAATGCTGAATTAAAAACAATACTTTAACTATTATTTAAAACTTTTTTGACCTATTTAGAAGATTTTACTCAGATTATTATACAGGGTACATGAAAGGTTAATACCTTTCAGTGTTATTTACCTATATTTTATTGTGTATTTTTAAGTTGCCAGAAGCAGAAAGCACATTGGTTGATTCTATCCTGTTTAGTAATAATTTAAATGAATCTTATAATGATCAATATTTAAAGCATGGGCCAGGGAGATAGCTCAGTAGAATAAGCGCTTGCCTGTCCAGTGCAAGGGCCTGAGTTCAATCCCTGGTTCCACTTCCCAAAAAATACGTGTGTGTGTGTGTGTATCGTATTAAAGGATTAAAATTAATAACTTCAGTATGAAATATGTATTTTAAGAAACAAACCCAAACGTATAGAAGATACTGTAAAAAAAAGATACTGTAGTACTCTTACAAGTAGCTGATATTAATATCAGTTTTTTAAAAAAAGGTCCAATCCTCACTTTATTTTGTGTATATATGATTTTAAATAATAAGAATATATAGATTGTTCTGAAACTGAGTACATAGATTGTAGTGTGGAATTGTTTGATATCAGCATAATTTATGCTAATACATTGTCTATGGAAAGAGCTTGAAATTTAGTATTTTATTAAAGTAACTTATAGTAGTAGGGCTGGCCTGATAGTTCAGTGAACTAAAGTGCCTGCTTAGGCAGAGCTCAGCAGCTAGGGTTCGATTTCCAGTGTGCCATTCCAGCTCTGCCCACGGGGCATGGTGAGATTGAGATTGAGATTGGGCGTGGTGGTGTGAGCCTAATAATCCCACCACTTGGGAGGCTGAAAACAGGAGAATCACTAGGAGTCTTATCTGTATAGTGAGACCCTGTAGACCCTGTCCTAAATACAGAAAAATAAATAAAAAAATAAAGTAACATAGTTGCTGTCAATTTTAATTTTGTGATAACTGACACATCTTTATTTTTTGAAAATGAAGAAAGCTATCAAAGTAAGCACTAAGAATCAAGTATGCAATGCAAAGCAGTTACTATAATTAAAAAAGCAATTAAATTAATGAAGTTTTATATAGTTTCTAATGCTGTTTTACTATTTTATATTTTTAAAAAGCAATTAAAATCATATTTCAACATGAATAAATTCTGTGGCTAAATGATGAATATTTCATATAGAGGTTTCTGGATGTTATCCAGTTCTGTACTTTTCATGACTTTTCACTTCTTTTTAAAATTTAATGTGAAGATTGGACATTTTAAAAATGCAAAATCTTAGTACTAATTGAACTGTGCTATCATTATCAAAGGAAGACATTTTATTAGAAGTGTATTGGAGATTAGTTATGAATTTTAGTAGCACAAGCCATCTTTTTTATAGATTGATTTTTATTTGAAGGAAGGCCTCTGGTGTAAAGGTGGCAGAGTAAATACCTGAAGAGTGATGTTCTCTGTTGGGCGATCAATACCAGCCCCATGACTCTACTTCTGGCTACCTTCTAGTTAAAAACAAATTTTTTAATTCTGACAATTTAATTGCCCTTCCCAAGTTCACATTAACTTGCTTGGGGAAAAGAGCTTTAGGTAATTTTTCAAACAGAGGCCCTCCAAAGTGGTTATTTATAAAAGTCACATTGTAATGGGAGATTTCTTTAACTTTGCAGAAACTGAGATGTATTCTTAAATTAAAATTAATACTTCTTATGATTATTCTTTATGGAAATTAGCAGCAGCAAGCAGAGGTGGGCACTTGATTCTTGAGGGCATTTCCTTGCATTTTATAGTTAAAATTTATTAGAAATTTGTTCTAATGATGCTAATGTGTCCTAATGTACAACCTCTGTTTGGCAGTTATTTATGAGGAGAGCATTTTAGCTGTAGATGGAAGCTGGGAGTTAAAGTCTAGTCTAACTTCATTCTTTACAAATACGGAAACTGGGGTAACAAAAGGGCTGTCATAATGCTTTGTTGATGGACTAACAGAGGACTTGTCAGAGTTTTATATCAGTGTGTAGTACTCTCTTCTAAAATTCATTTTTAAATGTAATAGGAATTTTATATTCAAATTAAAGCCACATAAAAATATTTTAAATGGTAGAAAGTGGTTTTATTCAAGCATTACTAAAACAGGTAAGCAGTAAAATTCTGTTGAATGCAAGACATTTTTATTTTGTAGAGAAAGTACCTACTAATGGAAATAACTGTTTAAGAGGAGGATTTAACATATTTTTAAAAGTATCTTATAAGCGTGTAGAATGCTACACGTCATTTGATTTTCTAAGGAGGACAGATCGTGTTCCGATGATAAATCAAGCTATTGTTTCTTGCCTTTAGTAATGCAGATATTGTTGCTTCCTTCATAGTCAACATATACTGGATGCTGCAGAATCTAAAACTGTGAGGTTTTAATGCCCTTTAGGACATGCACCTGGCTTTTTTTTTTTTTTACATTTAGATAATTTTTCTAGAGTAAGTTTTCTTGGCTTGGAACACTAAGAAAAATGACTAAACTGTAGAGGATGTTTAATTTGATTGGGACAGTAGCTGTTTATGAAATACTCCTTATGTTGCCTTGTTTAGAATGTAGTCAATAGTGTGTGTGTCACTTTACACCAAGTGGATACTTACATGTATTTGATGCATACTTAATGTAACTTTATTATTTTCTTATTATAAATACCTTTAAATTCACACATCTTAATTCTTTGGTGTTTTTTTTGTTTTGTTTTGTGACAAAGTCTCACTGTGTAGTTTAGGCTAGCCTAGACTCACTCTGTAGCCCTGGCTGGCTTCAAGCTTGTAGCAGTCCTCCTGCCTCAGCTTCCTGAGTGCCTGATTACAGGGGTGCAACACAACGCCCACCTGAAGTGTCTAATTCTTAACCTATATACTTCTTTTGCTATAATATAGGCTAGACATGATTCTTATTAATTGCCTCAGTGGATGCTTGAAAGGAATTTTATGTATTTTATGAGACAATTTCCTCTCTTCATTTTTCCTTTTTCTGTTTTAATTTTGCTTACCTCCCTGTTTCGGGTGGATAAATTGCCTCTTGCCCAGGGCTTGCGGTAAAGAAACTGAACTTTACATTTTGAGGACCAGCTTTTTGCCAGGCCACAGAATGCTCTTTGCTTGGGTAAATCAAAAGTCATATTTGAAAAGAACATTTTAGACAGACTTTTCGAAATTTATATATTGATGCCAGCTAATTATTAACTGTGAAACCAAAATAAAAGGTAATATCAGGTAAAGGCAATCTGTTAATAAGAATACAAAAAAGTATAAACAGTGGTTATTTTCAGTAACAGTTTTATTACCAGAAACTGATCTGACCTTTAAAACTGACCCAAAATCAAGTTTGCACTTCATCCAGTTAAATTTTTACATTAGTGTAGATACATACAGAGAAGGTGTCAAAATAGCTGATGCTTGTTTAATGGTTGACTGAGTATAAGGCAAGTCAAGTTAAAAATATACTTCTCTCCAGCACGTACAAACAAGAAATTATCTTTTATTTTAAGCTTGGGAAAGTTTTGTTCTAATTTTGAGGGAAAAATGTTCTTCAGCAGAAAGCTATTAGACCACTGAGAATTGAACACCAGCGCATGTGGTGTGTATTAGAGTACTGTTGGTAATTTTACTGCTGCTAACTTAAAATCCTCAAGGGGGAGTTAATTACAGGAAAACCATTCTAAATATCAGTAAGCTGCATATTTTCTATGACAAGAGGTTTTTCAGTTGAAATTGAACAATTCCAGAGTCTGAACTTGTAAAAATAAGTAAATAAATGAATTGAAGTGGGTGTTTGTATGCATATACGTATCTATAGTACTTAAAATGTTTTTCAGAACTATTTAATTCAGAAGTTATTTGTTATTGAGAGTCAGTGTGATGAGAACATAGTTAAATTTTTTGACTCCCATTTGGAAGGGATAGCACAGTATATTTTAGTGGCCAATTAAATAAATATACATTTATTTATAGATTTATTTTAAGCCATAGCATATTATCAATGAGGGCTATCAGTTTTTTGTAAATATTTGTAGGACAAAGTGTTTGTTTTCTTTTTCTTTCAAGTAAGCATGGCAAACTTCAGGGCATATTTGCAGTGTACAAGAGAGTACTACATGAGCGAGGTGTTCAATTTGTTTCTGATGCGCTTGCCGTATGTTCCTCACATTTCAGTTTGCAAACAAGTATTTTTACATGGTCCTGTTTGTGCAGTGTTGTTTTTCTCCTGTCCATCGAAGGGCTGGGTGGTGTGGACCACAGGAACTGGGAGCACAGGCTCCGGCCCCGTACTACCTAGTTTTGCATGTATCCTTCTTCCAGTGATCATAAGTTTTATTCCTTCAAGCAAGTTGTATAACTCCTCTGACTCTTTGCCTGTTGAAATTGAGGAATTAAATAAGGAGGTCTTCGAGAATTAAATGTCTTAAATACGTGAAGTACTTTGAATGCTCTGGGACATAGCTATGTGATTATTAGCCTTAAGATTAGTATTTGTGTTTGAAGGAAGATATATAGGTCAAGGGAGAGAAGAAAACATAGCCCGCTGATTCTGCACCAATGTAATGGGCAAATGATCATTTATTATAATTTACCATATACAAAATTGAGATGATGTTGCTTTCTTTTGTATTTCTCAGTGACCAGTTTATTTTTTGTGATGCTGATTATAAATTGGAAAAGGTCATATTTGGGCTCGATCTACGGAAGAGAACCTAAGTATTGAGCAATGACATAAATGGGTTTACAGCATGTAAACAGTGATATAAAATATACTTGTATGTTTGTAAACATTAGTGATTACTCGGCATATTTAATTTTTAAACCACTTTAATTATAGTTACATTAAGTTTTCCTGATTTTATAAGGGTTTCAGATTTGTGCATCTATGCTGTATGTAAGAAACGAAATGCGATTTTATTTACCTATAGAGTATATTCAAAGCCAGATATAGAGAGCCTCTTTCCATGGCTTATTTATTTGAAGGTTTCTATATTCTTTTTTAGTGCCAGAGTACTATATTTAAAAGATATTAAAAAAATAAAATTAAAAAATAAAATAAAATAAAAGATATGCATGGAAAATTCACAATAAATATGAGAAAAAAGACTTTTCCCATAACATCATCTAAACCATACCTATTAGATGCAAAATTGCTTTTGCTCCACCAAGTTAACTAGGTAACCAGTCCATGTGCAGATTGCTTAAATATTTAGGATAAATTATACTGATAAATTTCTGTCATGTTACTGTAGACCTGCTGCTTTATCCCTCCTGGGCTTGGGGCTGTGCCTGGGCAGACGATGCAGTGGAGCAAAAGCCTGCCGTCTGATTTCCATATCAATAGCTGCAGCCGGCGGATCAGGTGCTTTCCTCCTGGATTGCTCTAGCTGGAAACCGACTGTCAGTCCTATAGTGAAGATGCTACCCTTACCCCTGTGTGGCACAGTTGACAGAAAATATGGTTAGGAAGTGTACACACATGAGCTTTTTTAAAAAATCATAACACATATCTGCTTGTCTCCTTTTCTTGACGAGAAAGCCGCTTAAAAGCATTGGAGTTGCCCCAGCAGGCTCTGGGGGTTTGAAGGCAGAGTTTCTGAGCATCTCTGCGTTCAGCTTCCAGTTGTTCCTCTGCCCTCCTTTCTGGTTTCACTGTTGCTGCCCCTCCTCTCTGGGACCCAGTGTGGAGTGCAGAGCTGCTGCTCTCCATAGGCTGTGCGAGGAAGGCTGTGCAGGGAAGGCTGTGCAGGGAAGGCTTGCGGGGAAGGCTGTGTGAGGAAGGCTGTGCGGGGAAGGCTGAAGGCTGTGTGAGGAAGGCTGTGCGAGGAAGGCTGTGTGAGGAAGGCTGTGCAGGGAAGGCTGTGCGGGGAAGACTGTGCGGGGGAAGGCTGAAGGCTGCGGGGGGGCCCTTTGCCCTGGGGCCTCTCATCCTGCTTCTTCTGTTATGTTTGCCCCCAGGTGCCTTGGCCCTTTAGTTTGAACAAGCAGAGGCGGGAACATTGAGCTTCCACTTAGTTTCCACATTGCCTGCTCCTGGATATTTGTATAGGGGCTGAAGGGGCAGAGGAGGCATGTGTGAAAATGTGGGCAAGCTCACTGTGAAGGAAGAGGGGGTGGGGGAGGGAGGAAGAGAATGCAGCTGCTGTGGCTTTATTAGTGTCAGATAGCACTTTGGGGCCCTGCCCATGTCCTCATTGGCCACAAGTCTTACCTCTGACTCTTCTCACTTCTAGATTCTCCTCCACAGCCACTCTCCAGTCATTTTGAAATGTCTGTCAGTGTAGTATTATTCAAAGGAATAAATTCTATAGTGTGAAATAATGTTTCCAAAACCAGGTTCTGATATTTCCTACTAATGAATTTCAAAAAAGTAAGTGTTGCTTTGGAACACTCTCCTGGCCTAACTATAAGTAAATAAATGCCTCAATGAGCAGTGCAGGGGTCAGGTTTAATGGGATTAGGATGCTTGTTCAGGGTAACATTACACTAGCTTGGGGAATCAAGTTTGTCAGAACACCATGTGTGCCATCCCAGTCACTTTCTCAACTGTGGTCCATCGTATATAAAAAATCGACCATCTTGGTCCACCTGCCCGCATCTCAGCCCCTGCCCCTTTGCCAGAGCACTCTTCTCAGTGCTGATGGACAACTTTGTTTCCTTCTCATTTCAGCTGCAGATGAAGATATCCTTGCTAAAGGAAAACAGTCCATCAGGAGCCAGCCTTTAGGAAATCAGAGCTCAGAAAACGAGATCCTCCTGGAAGGCGATGATGATACTCTATCATCCGTGGAAGAGAAAGATTTAGAGAATCTTGCCGGTAATTCCGTGGTTGTGCAGATGCTTCAGCTGACTCTGGGACAATGAGCACCTGATTATTTACTTTTTCAGCTGTGATCACCATGACTACCAACTCTGTTCCCACAGTTAATATTAATTAGAGATTGTTTTTGTTCTTCAAACTCTCCCCCTCTGTTTTTTATTGTTCTTTATTCTGTTCAGTCTTCTTACATTCTTCATCTTTTTTCTTTTACGTATAATTTTCAATGATAAAGGAAAAAAGTTTCGAAGCAGCCATAACAAAATTGATTTAGCCATCCTATGGAAGTAAGCAAATCTTTATAAAAATGAAGGCCATAAGTAAAATTCTACCAGTTGTTTTATAAATAAAGGCAGGAGACAAATACACTATTTGCTTTGATATGCAAGTCTAAGTGAGCATACTGCATATGCATTTAACTCAGTCAGAAAATCAATTCCAAGAATGTAAAGCTTTTTTCAAGATTCACATGTTTTGCCTGATGTAGGAATTTTGATCCCCACTCTGCAGATTCTCAGCTTTACATCTTTTATGGGAAAAATTCTCTGCTTCTCCTGAAAATTTAGTTATTCATCAAATGTCTTCTTTTCCTTTAATGTTTGTGACTATTCTTTAAGAAGGAAAGTCTGAGAAGCCATCATTTCTTTAGCTGAAAATTATAGTCTTCCTTCTTGATGATTTTAAGAGAAAAGGCATTATAAAGCTTTTATTTGATGACATCTACAACCTATGCTACCATACAACTTAATAATAAAGCAAAAGTAGAAGCGGGTTATCGTCTCTGATGGCCGTAAACTCCTCTGTAAAATAAAATAATTGAAATACTATTAAGGATTAGGAGTGGTGTGTTAAGTTAGGTGGATATTACTATTCTCACGTGTTTCCCTGAACATCCACTTACACGTTTCTACCTTATTTTGCCTCTGTTCTTGCTACTAGTGATACGTTCATACAGTAATAGAGGTGAAAGGAAAGTTTAATTATATAATCTTGACAATGGCAATAGGATTAAGAAGTAATCCACGCTAATAAAGTGATGTGGGTTAGAAATGAAGTGGAAATTGTCAGGGGTCTTCTGTGGGACCTAGGCTGCCCTGACTCCTGCAGCTGTCTGCTTACCCTATAATTGAATGTCTGCGAGTGATTGAAAAAATGTTATTTCTTCTCAGGATTACATGCTAATGTACAGAGGGCAAAAGGAGACAGCAAAAGAACACATCACTGCTTATTTCATCCATTTATAGGGATGAGCTTTGGGAAATCATGGCTGTTCTGCAGCTATCTGCTGCCCATCTGCAAACACAATGTATCTGTACATTGGGAATAGAGGGCAAAACCCGCTCTGATCTCCACAGAGCATCCTTTCTATTGTTCTACTGGCACACATTAAGATTGATGTGAGATTAAGGACCATCACCCTCCTATCAGTCGATGGAAATGTCAATTCATCTGAATTTTGAAACACTTATTCACTCATTGATTACCTGCATAGGTGTACCTTGTTGAGGTACTATTAATTTAGAACTACAAGTGCCAATCTTCTCTTTGGCTGTTTCTTTTCTTCTATAGGATTTATACAATGATTAATTGACATGTAATCATAAATCCCTTCTATGTAAGTGTTTGCATATTGTATAATTATTGCTTTCAGTTCTTTTACTTTTATCTCTAGTATACTTTATGCTTTTCTATTTCTGGTGAGTCTTTTGTTTCTAGTAGCAGTCTGATTTGTCTCTTTGATAAGCCCTGTGGAGATTTGATTATTCCAATAAAAATTCATTCACTTGGAAACCCACCCTCCAGCTGTTTACTCCCAGAGTCCCTGAACTACACTAATATTAGATTTGGAAACCTTGAACAATATTTAACAGTGGAGTGGAAGGCTTAGAAAAGAGGCATTTTTACCAGTCTTTCCTTGGGTAAAGAGGCTTTGTGTCAAACTAACACAAAATCTTTGTCAGAGAATACAGTTTATCAGAGAATTTTCCCCTTCACTAATAAGCTAGTGATTGTTTCCCTCCAGCCTCAGCCAGAGTGGAAGTTCACCTCTGGCCTTTGAAGCCTATTGAGGCTCCTTTGCTCCCGGTTATTATTCCATGTTGTGTGATAGCCTGAGACTTGTTTCCTAAATGGAATGTGGATGCACTTATTTAGGAAGAGCCACCTTCTTGTCCAGAAAGGCGACCAAAGCTTTGCACACCCCTTATAAAATACCATTATCATTACCCATCTGTTACAAATCTTCTAATATGAGAACCCTGACTTTGCATTTTTGGAGGAAGATTTGGGGTGGGCAGAATATGGGAGTGTAGAAGGAATTAACAGTTAATTTGGAACTAGGTATGAAAATCTAAAAATTAAATGAAATTTCTGGTCAAATTTGATGTTTTGAAAAATGTGATTCCAAGTCATATGGCTCATCTTTTTCTCTTGGCAGGTCCTGTTAGCTTGAGCACACCGGCTCAGCTTGTGGCCCCTTCTGTTGTAGTAAAGGGCACTCTTTCGGTCACTTCCTCTGAACTGTATTTTGAGGTAGATGAAGAGGATCCTAACTTCAAGAAAATGGACCCCAAGGTGAGAAGATGAAGAGGGCGTTTCATTTGTTTTTATTATGGGGTGGTGGGCTTCTGTGAGGTAGCATTGGTGCTGGTAAAATCTCACAAGCTTAATTTGAATTCTTGGTGAATTACCTCTGCTAACATGAAAGGCAGTTATATGTTGTTTCCTAGCTTATGATTCCTTTACCATCTAGTTAGATTACTGAAGTTCATTTAGATTAAAAAAAAAAACAACAGTTTTCATTTAATTGCATTCATCATTAGCTCTTTGTTGGGGGGGACCTTTGGGAACATTGTCTGAAAGTATATTTTGCCTTGAAAGGTCCAGGGTGAATTAAGCTACAAAATTCAGTAAGTTTGAGAGTGGAATTATTTTGTTTAGCCTTTATGTTTTCTGGATATAATACCAATATATCATTCTCCTTGCTTTGTTCCCATGACTTACTACTTTGTCCTGGGCGCAGGCATGTTTCGTGTGTGTGTGATACCTCTGTTTTCCATTACCTGTAGTAGATTTTACAAGGCACTGTATAATTTCCTATTCTTAAATGGAAATGTAATTTCCCCTTTAAAATGTATTTTTTATTACTTTTTAGACCTTGGCAACTTGATTTTCGTGAAGAAATATTTATGTTTCCTAACCATCATAAAGCCAAAATTACATTTTTTTCAGTATTTGCTCTGGTACAGTTTCTTTAAAAATAAGCAAAATAACCGAAAAGAAAAAGTAGTTGTTTAAAAAATGGAATAATTTATTGGTTTTGTATATATGCATATACACTGGTATACACATATTCTGTGTCTATTAGGAAGTTATTTGGTTTTGAAATTATATGTGAATTTTTAAACTTCAGTTTTTTAGAAATATTCCATTGATACAAATTTTATAATATCATGTAATTCCTTTACAACGAGTCCTTTTTTGGCCTTTGCCATGATGCCAGTACTTTGTTTTCATAGAACATTGCATGTATTGAGACAGGTCTTGCCAGACCATGTGAGTGGAAGGCCACGAAGGAGCTGATCCTTTTGAGCTAGGTGATTCAGCTAATCCAATGTAGAAAGAACTGTAATTCTGAGATTACATGATCCAGAAATTTTTGTTCTACTTTGTTAATGTCTGAAAATGTGTTTTAATTTCCTTAGGCAAGAAATGTTATGAAAATTACTTAACCTGCTTGATTTCTGGTAGTTTGTGAATTTAAAAGAGGCAAAGACTTAGCTCAGAATATTCTATTATGCTTTTGGGATAGACGTAAAGTCTAAAATCTAATTTAATTTAAAGGTGTTGAGTGAATTATTCTCAAAATTAAAACATTTGCCAATCTTTGGACTAGGTTCTTTGAAGTTATTTGCTCCTTAGGGGAAGCTATAACTTTTATTTCTCTCTGATCTTATTCTGTAGCATCATTAAATTAATTTTCTCTATTGCTTGTGAAATATGGGATTTTTTTGCTTAATCATAGAAATCATTTTGTATAACTTCATCCTACTTAATGTCTCATAAGTAAAAGCTCTTGCCAGTTCATACTTGAAGTTTTTTTCCCCAGCAATTATTGGAAGAATTTTTTTTCTTATTTTGTAGAGACCTTGATGCTTTAAGGTATTTTGTAAATAATAGTTTGCTGCTGTTGTGATTTTTTCCTTTCTTATACTGTATTAAATAAGTAGGAAAAAAGATAATGAATTTGGGTTATTTTTGATTTTCAACTTGCTTTATGGGCTAGTTAGAGAAAGTTCTGTTTCTAATGCTATAAATACTTTTTTGACTGAAATAATGATCATTTTAAGATTGTATTTTTTTTCTTTGAAATGAAATATGGTGCCTGTATGTTGTTTCATGCAAGGACCTACTGCTTGCTTTGGAAATGGTCTTAAGATTCAGACCACATTTTCCCCCAGAGAATAAATTTGTTTTCTTATTTTAAAAGATTAGTGAGTATTCAGAAATACTGAGTTTGTTTTATATTCACAGGAAGAGAGACCAGAAAAATAGATATAATATACATTGAAAGGGTAGGGATGATTCAGAACTGATAAGACTAAAGCTATGTTTTTAACACAATATTTTGCCAGAGAAGTTTTACCAGGAAATTCTACAGCATAAGCTTCCTCTGTGGAGTGAGCAGGCGCAGCTCCTGAGTAGTTCTCTGTGTTTCGTCCATCTCTGCTACCCTGCTGCTCATCCTCTGCATGCACCCCCCACACAACTTCTGATCTTAACATTGCACTTTAGAACGTTTTTCTCTGCACATCTTACTCATGGTTGTTTTTCAGTAATTTATAAAAATAGGCTAATTAAAAATACCATTTATAGATTAAAGATAAGAGATGCCATATTCTGTACCTGTGCCTCAGATTACCAAGGCTAATGGGGTGTATATTTCTTTTCAACATAAAGAAGATGAACCAGGTCTTTTAGGGTACTTTCAGTTTTACTACTTTAATATTCCAAATAGTTCTTCCCTTGAATTAAAGAGAAACCTTTGTCAAAATTGAAATACTGAAATGAGTTAGTTGGATTGTTACTTTAGAAAAGTAGAAAGGGAAGAGAGAAGGGTATATTTTCTTTTAGTAAATTCTTGAGACAAGTTTTTTTTTGTGGTCATAAAAATGGTATGAAGACCTTTTCTGTTTGAAGTGCCTATAAGCAGTTGAAGAATAATTCTTGAAATATAATAAAAATGATCATAGATATGGTACTATTCCCTTTAAAAACTGCAATAATTTATAAATGTGAATTGTTTCCATTACTAGTTGCTGGAGGTAAGGGATGTTGCTGTACCAGTTTTATCTTTCTGAGTGGCTGATTTAGTTGTTAAAATTTTATTATTCAAATATTGAAGAAGACTAGTGCTTGAAGTCACATACCAACCTCATTAACTATTCAGAAAAGATTCATAAAAATTTCTGTTGTGTTGGCTTCTTAAAAAATATAGCTAAAAATAAATCTCTTAATTTCTAATGTGAAATTAAAAAAAAAATTAGGGTCAAATTATCCTTCCATATAATTTTCTTTTTGCAAGTATGAAATATTAATCTTAAAATCTACAGAACAAATATACATTATATCTGAGTCAAACTGATACTGTTTTCTAAAGATTTTGTTGGGAATTAATACAGTTACTTCTGCAAAATGTGCTGAATTTTAAATTGGGAGTCAAAAGTTCATGGAGCTTTCTGCATTTAGTTCTCAAGTTCAAATTTTTCACATTGTGAATTAAAACAAGCACCCTCACTTGCCTTCATTTAAGAACAACCCACAAACAATCGATACAATGTAAAGTATTATTTTTATTACTGTTTCAACAAGACCTCTTAGGGAGAAAGTAGAGGTGCGAGAGAGGGAGGAGACAATCTGACATTGGCACTGAGATACATTTAACATCAGCAAAACGTTTTTAAAAGAAATTTTACATATAGTTAAATAATTTTTTCACTTGGTGACAACATTCAGGCAACCAAAGAGAGCGAGTGAGAGCGAGAGTGAGAGCAAGAGAGAGAGAGAGAGAGGAAGAGAGAGGGGTAGAGAGAGAACTAGGAGTAAAGGAGGCAAAGAGGGAAACTACTTACTATACACTGATTGAAATGTACCTTGGGTTTCATTTTCCGATGGCACAGCCGCATTGCTTCTTTTGTGTGACCTTTTAAATTCACATTGTAAGAAAACGATCACTTTTGTGCAAGAATGTGATTTTTTTGGGGGGGGTGGGTTGGTCTGCACTCTTTTGTTGGCTTCTTAATTAGCGAAGGTCTGCCGCCTGCCTGCTCCAGGTGACTTACATGAAAGTTTGTGTCCAGAGTTTCTGCCGTGAGTCGCTGATCCGTGCGTTGTGTGCGAGAGAGCACGCTTTTCAAGCAGTCCCCAGCACCCTATAGTTTGTCCAGGCTTTTGGGATTGGTGAGGATTTCCCTGGCCAACCTCCAGGTCTGCTTGGCAGCGCTCTCCAGGGCCGAGTGGGGCTTGCCCTGGAAGAGGTCGAGGTTGGGCAGAAAGTAGTGCGGGCAGCGGCGGCACTGCAGGCAGGAGATGAGTTGCAGCAGGATGCCGTTGAGCCGGTCGCCCAGGCACGCCTCGTCCCAGTCCGTTTCCCGCGGGTGCTTCTCGCACTCGTACAGCAGCAGAGTCTTCATGTGGTAGTTGTTAAGGGGCTGGCCCGGCAGCTCCAGGTGGCGGTCCCGAAGCGTCTTAAGCACCGAGAGACACTTGTTCCGGCAGCCGCCCATCAGCAGGCGGTTCTCTGCCTCCCCAAACTGGAGCACCCATGCGTCGCTCTCTGCAGAGCTCTGCTTGCCGGTCAGCGAGTAGCACTCCTTGGAGAGCAAGTTGAACCCTTCGGCCTTGACCTCCGCCACCCGATTGGGGCCGGGCCAGGGGATATGGGGCATAGGCCACTGTGCCGCGCTGCGAGGCCAGATCCCCGTGCACTTGAACGCTGGCGTGATTTGCACCACGTAGCGCTCCCTGATGCGCAGCTTGACCTCGCTGGTGTCTGCAATCATCTTGACCACGTCCCGGTAGCTGCACTTGTCCACAGCCTGGGCCACCAGTGTCTGGAAGCGCGAGCGGATCTTGCGCGCGGAGAGGTAGCCCGACGCAGTGATGAACTCGACCCACAGGGACATGCTCCGCTTCCGCCCATCGCTCAGTTTGAGCACAGCGCAACCGGGCAGCGAGCCGTCGTCCACGAAGTTGAAGACGCCCATCTGGTTCAGGTAGAGCACCACCTCGAATTCGGTGGGCGAGATGACCTCGAGTCCCTCGTAGCGGGCATCGATCTCACTGAGGGAGCTGATGAAACGGGGCTCCTGCACCTCCACCTCCTTGAGCACGTCGGAGACCACCTTGCAGACCTCACGGATGGTCTTGGCGATGGCCGCCTTGCGCGCCTGGCAGCGCTCCGTGTAGTATTTATTGAGCTGGTAGACCAGCTTGGCCTGAGCGGCGATCATGTTGGGGCACAGGTCCGGGCTGTACACCGGCGTCTCGCAGTACGTTGAGGGATCCAAGGCTCACTCGCTGGTGGTGGCCCTGCGGCTTTCCGAAGAGGTGGTGTGCTCTCCCCTGAGCCCCACTTTCTTGGATTCCCACCTGGGCTGTCGGCTGACGCCTTAGCCTTCCTCTTCTTCTTCTGCTAGTAGTCTCTTCTGCAGAAAATCAGAAGGTGCTGGGGTTGGGAGGGATGTCCCTATTGGGACCTTTTTTTGGCTTTTTCTTTTATAAGTAAAATAAAGATAACCATGTGCAGGGAAGGTTGAGGGGAGGGGTGAGGCAAAAGAGAAAAATTTAGATTACCAAAAGGTTTAGGTTTAGATGTCTGCTGCCGAGATTGCCCAGCTATCTGGAGATGAAGTCTTTAAGTGGCAACGTAAATTTAAAAATAAAAGCCAGGCATTCGGTGGTTCATTCTTAAAACTTCTCCAGCGCTGCGAGGGCTTCTTCACCCTGTGGAGGTGATTCGATCCCCCGCAGCCCCCAGCAGCCGGGAAGTGCAGGATGTAATTAACGTCCAGCAAGCAGTGGCGAAGTGCAGCCCGGTCCAGTGCGCTTGAGGTTTGCAGACCCGGCAGCTCCACGCACAGCTTTCCTCTCTGCTCAGGGCCCCGGTTAGCGCAGTTTTTCTCTTTTCCTACTGGAGGCGTTGTTTGGATTAGGTTGGTTTGTGCCTAGTGGGTTCTTCTTGTCTTTCCCTAGGTGCAAACCGCTGGAAGTTGTTTGATACTCATTTCTGCTTCGTAATTTACACTTTTGGCCCTCACAAAATCTATTTTAATGTGCCGAAGTCGTTGCTTGCGTTGCATCTGGCGCGTAGTTAAAACGATCCAGGGTTTTTCCTCCCTAGGTTACTTGTGCAGATGCCACTTTCTGAGTCTTCTCTCTCCCTCCCTCCCTCCTGTCTCCTGTCTCTCCCCTCCCCCCTTGATCTCTTTCTCTCTCTCTCTCTCTCTCTCTCTCTCTCTCTCTCTCTCTCTCTCTCTCTCTCGGAGTTATTTAGTTTATGAATGGCCCCAAGGCCATCATGAGGGGGTGGAGCTTCAGTTCCTACAATCCCCATCCGAGCTGTCAGTGCTGTGGCCAATCCGAGAGGGAACACAGGCTCTGGGCGAACGGTAGCAGCCACTTGATAAAGACAGGGGGTAAAGAGAGAAGTAAGAAGATAGGAGGAGATAGTACAGGTCGAAGCTCGCACACTTTGGGCAGCTCCCCCGCCCCCCAGTTGCACAGAAGAAAAGGAGAGTCTGTAGAAGGGCTCTCTGGCAGTGGCTGGAATTGCGCGAGGGACAGTAGCAGTGGTTCACAAAGGTTTACTTTTTTTTTTTTTTTAAATTCTCTCCACATTGTTCAGGAGAATGTGCAAACTCTAACAAAATTACTTTGGCTTGAAGGCACATGGGAGGAGGAAGAAGAACTCGAGAAGGACCTAATTTTCGTAGGTCTTTTCCTCTAGTACTGTCCTCCTCTCCTCTCCTCTCCCTCCCTTTGTCACTGAGAGCCAGAGCAGTCGCCGTGTGCACCAGCGTGTGGGGGTGGATATAGGCTGAGGGCTTATAGCCATAAATCCGTTGTCAGTAATTTCCATATGTTGTTGAAAACTGGGGCAGGACAATAACTAGTCCAAGCACATTGTTTGATAACTGTTTCATAATTAAATTCAAATATTGTTAACATCATTATTTTATCATTACAAGAATTAGATAAGAGAAAAATGTGGAGAGAAATAGTGTGAATTTATTTGGTGGCATTTGGAAGGATATAAGTTAAAATAACCTTTTAAAATTGTGTCAAACTCAGTGAATAAAGGAGGGAAATGAATGTGAGCCTGAATCAAAGTTTTCTTAATTTGTTAATGTAAGTTCAGTTTTGACCATCCTATCAGACAGGACAGTTTCATTTGTAAAATCACTATTTTCATAATTGACTCTTTTTTTGAAAAAGAACTTGACTGCTGCAAAAATCTCTAACTATCCTGTTATTGATTATACAGATGGCTTCCCTTTGGTATTTCAGTGGAATGCATGTGTGTGCCTTTATTAACATATGTATTATCCTTAACAGGCTTTACCTGGAGTAGCCTTCTAGAACTTTTGCAGGAGACAAAGCTATAACATTGTTGCTCATTTGCTTACTATTGAAACTCCATCTTTGAACCTAAGGTGTATGGATTCTGAGTCCTTTTAAGGTATTCAACTAGTGGGTAGGTTTTAGTTTGAGTTGGGAGATAATATACTAAACCTGGCTTGTGTAATAAAATAAAAGTCTATGAAGCCATTTATGCAGAGCCTTCTTTTTGCAAAACTGAGTGGCTTTTACAGAACCCCTTGGAAGTGTTTGTTTTGCTTTCTTCAACTCCTACCAAGTGAACCTGAATTCAGTTGCATAGGGAAAGTTAATTTCCATCTTCTTGGCATCAAACACCTGAAGCTCAGGGTCCTTCCTTGCTTTCCCCGTGGACGCTGGCGGCATGTCACTCTCTCCTTTAAAGGTCAAAATCCCCTTTTTAAAAGAGTATGTGTGGGTTTTTTCTTTTTACAATGAAGCCGGATTTACTGCTTTGGACTTATCTTTAGTGACAAGGACTTGGGAAGAACAATTGTAAGTAAGCTTCGCGGACCTGGAACTCAGAAGCGCGCCTTAGCCTCCTCTCTGAGTGGCGGGACTTGGGCGTCGGCGCCTGCGGGTTTGCGCGTGGGAGGGCCATGCTGGGCTCTGCGGCTGATGAGCTTTTCCTGCGGAGTCACACGGGTGCCCTGGGGGAGGCGACGAGGGCAGGAGGGGCACTCTGTCACGGCGTGTTGGGGACTAGCCGGAGACTGGTGGCGGGGCTGGTGGGGCCCAGCAGACCCTTCCATCCTCTCTGTGGCGGCATCTTCCTTGCCTCAGCTTTGCGAGTGGAGGAAGCGCCCGGGGAGTGTTTGCAAACAGCCTGGGGCTCCTTGCATGCTCGGACACCCGGCTCCCCTGTGCCACACGTTAGCATAAGACTGAAAGATGATAAAACGTTACAAATGTTTTGATTTAAAAACAATTCATTACCAATTTACCCTGTCTAAGTTAGATGCTCTAGTAAATAATAAATCAGTTAAACAAAGGCGACTTTAATTTATTGCCGCGGTACTAATTAGAAACATCATTCGAGCAATAAACTTAAACACTTCCAGCAAATAATGCTGGCCCCTCCTGCCACCACTCTCTGGGCTGCCTCCGCCCGCAAGCAGCTTCAGCTGCGTTCGCCGCTCCTCTTCCTTTGGTAGAATAATTGAAGGGGAAACGGTATCCGCGGAGGCTGTAATTGAAGAGCCCCGTCACCCCCGCTTTTATGTATGTTAGTGTAGAAGTCCATCAGCAGCTCCTGGATGGTGTATTAAAACGAAGTGGGAGCGCCTTCTGCAGCAGACGCTGTATTCTGTTAAAGCAGACCAAATGAGAGAAAGAAACTAACTATAGGCTAAAAGCCACTTCAAGTCTGCAGACCGATTGATCTGTATTCTCTTGTTATAATCCGTCTCATCATACTTGAGTTAATGAGGCAAAGGAAGGGGGCGCGGAATCTGATGGTCCTTGACAAATTCATTAGGGAGGCTGCGGGACATTTTATTTGACTGTTTAACATCTTGTTTGTTTGGTTTAGGCTGTGCCAACATCAGCGTGCTCCTGCCCAGTGCTGTGGTGTTGGCTGCCTTCCTTCCTAAAAAGGGAAGGCAGACATCATCAGGGAGTGGAAGTTTTTGTTTTGGACTTTGGGTAGTCTAGAACCTTTATACTCCTCTAATTTTTCCCTTTTCCACTTGCACACTAGAAAGTTTTATAAAAATGTGGCTGGTGATATGGAGGCAGGCATATTTTTAGTTTTGTAAAGTGTGTGCATATGTAAAGCCGTAGTCTGAGAATTTCCCAGTTTCTTTTCCAAGTTGAGCCAGATTATAGCAAGAGCTGTTCTATTTTTTCTTTCTCTCTCTTTTTTTTCTTTTTGAGAAATGTGAATTGTTTAAGGTCCAAATAAATAGCAGATTACTAATTATGTTGCTTTTACTAGATTATGATTAAATGCACTTTGAATTATTAATTTATTCTTTTCTTTATTGAAGCCCTTATAAGTACATAGATATGAAAATTTAAAACATAAATATGTTTTAAAGAATCAAATTTTTGTATTTCAAATTTGAGTCATAATTATGGACTCAAAATGGTGCTAAAATGTCAATAAATGTACAGAACACTTAAATGAAAATACTTCTAATTGAAGAATAGGCAATTATGCTACAGTACTACCCTTATGATATTTTATTCTAAAACAGCACTGAATTTTCTCTACATTGCCTTGTAATGTAGTAAATAACCAAACTGGGAAACTTTCTTATGTGGGAAACTCAGGTATATTTTCTTTTTAATATAAACTTAAACAGCGTCAACTTAAATGCTTTGAGAAAGAGTCCTGCCTTCCATTTACAGGAAATCAGTATGGGAGGAAAAAGGAAACTGATGCCCTTTACCTGTCATTTTTATGTATTCCTGTACTGCTGATGAAGCTGGAACTGCTGCAGGAAATACATGGATTTGAAAAGAAATTATTCAGTAGTTCATGTTGTGTTTCTCAGAAGCAAAACCAAACCAGTGGATGAAATCCCTACTTCTGTATGCCTGACAGCTACAATCCTGCTTACATTTCCAGGGAATGCGGAATCTGTAAATTGTTTTACTCTTGGCTGATCTTTACTTAGGTCTATATTTACTAAGTTAAACTTAAGTGCATTTTTTACTTTATCAGATTAGTGACACTTAAAAGGTATCCATTATTTTGTTACTTGTAGGAATATGCAGTCTTTCAATATACTTCCCTAAGGGGTACACAGATTTTTAGATAGAATTTTGTTTTCCAGGAAACATCTTAGAGCCATTCATGAAAGATTAAATTTCTTACTTTTTTTCTTAAGAGAAAAAAAGACTTTCTGGAGGATTTACACTTTTTAGAAAACAGCTGGCTACATGTTTACATGTATATATTTTTATACTCGGAAATCTTTGAAACATCTATATGGTTGCCAAATTCTTAGTTTTTAATAAACGAGTAGTTGACATAGTTATAAAGATGCTTGCTTTTTTAAAGAGAACT